TAAAAACATGAAGAGATAAGAAATAAGATTATATATATAAGTGAAATAAGAAAAAAAATATGAAAAATTTCAAATTCTATATATTTTTTTTTGGAAGAATTTTGAAATTCTATAGTTTTAAAGAATTTAAAAAATATTTTAATATTAAATTCTTTAAAAATTATTCATTCAAACAAAACATTTAATTCCAAAACGTTTGAAATTTTCTTAAGAAAAATGAATAACCCCTTTAAAATGTTTCATACAAACACACTATTAATGTATTTTAATAAATTCATCTAAATATTTTGTCATTGAAATAAATTGTGTCAATTTTACTCCACCATAAGTTGTGATTGTGTGAATGTGATTAAATAATGAATAAAAGATATGATATATGTAATAAATTACACTAGCAACAAAAAAATAGATATTTTTTTTATAACCATGATATTGGTGTGAAGTATTCACAACTAAAAGTAGTGAGCTCACACAAATATTCTCTTGGATTCAAGATCAGGACAACTTAGTCACAAGACACAAGTTACTACCATTTGTGACTAATAATGAAGAAAGATAGAGTTAGAAAATACTATTAAGTAATTAACTTGTATTCTAACGATCGTACTATTACAATTCAAATCCTTCCAACACTAACAAGTATGAAATGTACTATCAAAATAAACAAGGACCAATCTATGACACTAATCCAATAGTTTCTAACACCATGATGCATTACAACTCTAACTTAATAAATTATCATTACCAAACTTAAATTGTGGATATTATGTTGGTCAAATAGTATTTGGGGGTTCATCAGGCTAAGTATCTGAGTTGGTGATATCACTCCATGATGTTTGGTCGGAGCTTATTATGGCATTAGGCACAGATACTTCATGTGGATAAAAAGATGGCCTTGAAGGCATTATAAGGTTTTCAATTTTTCCTTCAAGCATCTCTACTACCTTATTCATCGAAGGACGATCCTTAGGTTTCAATTGAATGCACCAAAGTGCAACTATAAACATCTTTTTGGCTAGAATCTTATCCTCCCCTGAAACATCTTCTATGTCAATATCTTTTTCTTCTTTAAATTGATCATAAATCCATAATGGGAAGTAATGTTGACTTGAATGCTCTGCATGAGGATTAGAGTTCTTCCTCTTACTCACCATTTCCATCAAAAGCATACCAAAACTATAAATATCAGCCTTATAGGATACTCCTCCAACATTTTTGTAGAACAATTCTGGAGCCATGTAACCTAAAGTTCCTCTTGCATCGGTCAAAGTGACAATGCTATTATTTATGGGATACAACCTTGCAAGTCCAAAATCTGAAATCTTTGGAATGAAGCTATCATCTAGAAGAATATTATGAGGCTTGATATCAAAATGTAAAATTTGCACATCACAACCTTGATGTAGATATGCAATCCCATGAGCTACTCTTAAACAAATTTCATATGTTTTCTCATAACTTAAAGAGACGTTTCTTTCTTTAGAGAAAATATATTTATCCAATGAACCATTATGCATGTATTCATAAACCAAAGCATGTTTTTTTCCTTCAACACAATATCCAATAAGACGTACCACATTGGTGTGATGTATTCTTCCAATAGTAGCCACTTCACTAATAAAGTCTTGTCCATTAGCTTTGGATTTGTTCAACATCTTTATTGCTACATCTGAACCACTTCGAAGCTTTCCTTTGTATACAGAGCCAAAACCTCCTTGACCCAATTTCACTTTGAAGCCTCTAGTCATTTTCTTGATTTCTTTGTATTCATACCTAATGGGACTTATATTGTTGTCTAGCAAAAAACTTTCAATATTATTATACATTGATAAATGTCGTCGTTGCCACTTATAGAACAATAGCCCAAGCAGAAGTGCAACACCAAATAAATATCTAATTGCAATGAATACTGAAAAAATATTTCGTCCAATGAATACAGCTTCATCAAAGTATTGTTGTCCAACTGGGTCGTTCAATTGTTTCGTACTAAATGTTAATCTACTCAATAGTCCTGTGTGGAAAATTTCATCAAAAGAGTCGATAAATAATTAAAGTATGCTTTTGTATAATTAATAATTTTGTTCAAAATATGAAATAAGTTAACAATTATTATGACGTAAACTAGTAATGAGATGATATATAAAATGTATTACCGATTATAATGCCTTTAAGATAACCTGCAAAAGAAAGAAGGGGAATTATAAAAAACATACTAAAAACATCAAAGAAAAGAACCAGTTGATCAGTTGACTGAGAACCAATCTAGTGACTATAGTTTGTTAGCTAAAAAAAGGTGCATTTCAGAACCACTGCGAATTGGTTCAAAATCTAAAAAATTTGCAAAAAAAAAAAAAAAAAACTAGTGGAAAAAATCATCAGTTTGAAATGATACTGTTAATTTTTTAAAAACAATTGTGCAAAATGTTTTTATAATAAATAAAAATCATATTTAATAAAGACTACTAATTTGAATAAATTATTTTATATATTATTTTTAAGAACTTTATTATAAAGATAATTTATATTAATTTTATAATTTTTAATATCTTGATATTTTATAATTTTATATTATATTATTTGACGTATTTATTTTAGATGTAAACTTGTTTTTGTTAATAGATATTGTTGTATTTTATTAAAGTTTAATCATAAATATTACATTTAGATTTTTTTTGAAGTTGAATTTAAACAAAGAAACAAAAGGGGAAAAAAAAAAAAACTAGACACTTAATTGTTGTTCACCACATGCAACAACACGGAATATTCATTAGACTTGTAGGAGCTTCAAAAACTATTACTAGTCTTATGTTTGACGTTGCACCTGTTTTGATGAGGAATTCCACTGCCATGTTGCCCTCTCGAAGCACACATGTGATAAATTGCACTACCAGCCACGACCCATCAGCCTTCGAATGCATCATTAAGTTTTAGTTGGTTGTTGAGATGTTTTTCATATGATTACATGTTCTTCTAATTAAATAAGAAAGGTTGTAAAATATGTATTTATCGTCTAGTTTGGTTAAGCCAAGCTGATCTCATGTCCAACATGGATGAGTCGAGTTGGGCACAAGTTTTTCCGTATTGGACTCTCCAACCATTAGAGCTTCAAGGGAAAACTCTAAGCGATTCATCTCTAAAGACTATAAGAGTATCTTTACACCACATATCTCTCAAAATTAGGGATCACATTATTAAGAATAATAACTATACTTATCAACAAGAATATCTCCAAAAAATTATGCAAATTATCCCCTA